CAATGTATATAGAAAAAATGTTTCTGATGTATACAAGGAATATGCAATGTGTTTGAAAAAAATGTTGCTCATGGATTAAAAAATGTTAATAAAACATTTAAAATTTTATAATCAATCAATAAAAAATATTTAAAATGTATAGGAAGAAGTTGCTCATTTATACAAATAATATATGATGTGTATGAAAAAAAATGTGTTGAACATGTATTTGAGAAAAAAATAAACGCATAACACTGGAAGCAAGTCCGAGAACTACTACGGCACACGAGCATACGACAAACACACAAAAGTAGTCCACCACGTGATCACTCATGGACGAGTCACCTCTTTGTTCAACCTTTCCACTTGTATATTCGCGACATACACATGGTTAGGGAGGGAGTGGTTGGTTGGTGATTATGGGTGCGTGATCTAAGCCCGGATTCGTGCAGCTTTTCCTACTCTACCGTGCGTTGTGCCCCATCCGGCAAGAAGTGCATTCCATGGCTCCATTTGTGTTTGCAACACCGATCCGCACGAGAAGATAAGATTCATGCAAGCTTGTCTACATATGGCGAAAGCTGTACGTGTACTGACATGCATGCATGCATGTTTGCACTGTCTTAACGCGCACAAGCTACTCGCTACTAAACTTGGAAGCAGTAGCAAAACTGAAACTGTGGCCGCGTAGCGTACGTACACTGGCCCTAAAACTGCTTTCACAGGTCCAATAAAAACATCTCTTTAAAAAATATTATCATTCGTACCCACTCCACCACATAGTACAAGCTTGATGCAGTGAGCTGGGCTGCAACTTTAGTCCTCCTCCTCGCACGTGCCACGTACGTACCAGCTGATCCAGGACATCGATTGGTCGTGTGCCCCACGTCCCGTTCCAACATATCCCTCCATCTCCGGCAACTTGCACCTACTACATAGTAGAAATATTATTCTAGCTATATAGATAGAGTATAATATTATTGCTTGATCACTTTCGGCGAAGTGAGTCGAGTGGCTGCCTCACGCCTGTGTCATGATCGGCGCGCCATCTTCACTTTTCTTCGGTTTATCCTCGCACATACGCTGATGCGTAGCAGTACCACTCAACCTATTATCGTTCTCGCAAACTAACACGTGGTTGAATGGTTAAAGGGACGATGATATCCTCAGTCCACCAGGATTTAAATCCTGATGCTTGTATTTATTGTTGAATTTATTTCAGGATTTCCGGCGATGCGCATCCAGTGGGAGGAGACGTTCCCGTCGTCGACGAGGTGCCTACGCTAACTTTGTAAATTTTAAAATGATATGCCGACTCAGTCTTTCGAAGGTGCTCATAGGGGTAGGGTATGCATTGAAACGGATTTGTCCAAAAATACTTTTTCTGAGGAAACGGATCGATGGGGAGATGCACTCTATAACAGACCTATTTTTCAGAGACTTATTTGACCGTCCGGAGGTAACAGGTGTCTCCCAGTACGATTTTGAACTAGAGACATGGGAACTTTTAGCTTCGCCAATGTGGTACCGATCAAAGTTGCGAGCGCGCGACTAGCTTTCAAGAAGTGAAGGTGCCGGTTTTTCCAAAAAGAAGATTGAAGTTGCATGCATGCGTCAAGATCTGAGATGTCATTGCCGGTCGCCCAACAAAGTCAACAACTGCATAAGAGAATCTACAGCTCGGCACCTCGAACCTGTCCCACCCGCCTGGGCGGAAGACCCGATCACTGACCAGTCACAAAAATGCAACCCAGACAGGCTCTTTAAATGGGCATCAGACGCCGGGATAACCGACATCTCTCATGTCCAACCCAAACATAGGGCGCATAGGGGGGCGCCGGGCGCCCGTCCCGTTGTACTAACAATTGGGTCCCACACAGAATCGTCTGGAAATCCGGTGGTCTGATGGACGTCTCCTTCGCTGGGAGGTGTCAATCCCGCGTGTCGCCGTTTCGGCTCACCGCCCGAGACCAAATCCAGCTATTTAAGTCGGTCGGCGTCCCCCAACCCTACCCACATCCACATCCTCCCTCTCCGCACCGCCAGCCCGAACCCACCCACCAGCTCACTTCCGGTCCGCCGCTCTTCCCACGCCGTCCGGCCTCGCCATGGTTCAACAAAAGAAGACCACCTATACTATGCTCACGCTGAAGCATCGGTTGCAGATTAAGTAGGAGATCTGGTGAGGCGCGCCACATGCATCGTGGTCGGCTTTCCACCGGAGCCGCCGGATCGGAGCAAGAGGAGGCGGAGGAGGAAGAGGAGGAGCAGCCGGCTCCGATGGAGGTGGTGGATCCGGAGGAGGAGTAGCTAATGCCGGCTCCAGCTCCGGGCTTCAACATGGAGGACGCGGAGGCGGAGTACACGGTCGCCTATGCGGCTGAGACGGCGGAGCAGCAGGCTATCCTGGAGTCCATCTGGGATGAGGCCTATGTGGAGGGCAACCGACAATTCATCCGACGGGAATAGGCGACGACCGACGGGCACTTGGACGAGGTCAAAGTGGAGATGAACGCGGAGGAGCCGCTAGAGCCAGGGTTGCGGCTGCCGCCCATGCACCGGAAAGCCGGGCACGGAGATAATGAACATCTTTGATGAGGATTTTTTTTAAATGAGACGAGGATTAGAGTAGTACAGGTTATTTGATCTACGTAGTACATGGATTTTATTCTTTGTAAGTTTTTATATGGATCTAGGATTTCTAGTATAAAGTATGAGGATGCAGAGAAGCAAATTTAAAACGTGACAGTTTCACGATTCGCAGGCGAGTGGGAATCGGATTCGCTGTCCGCGGTCGTAGATGCTCTAGCCTCGAGGTCGAGTACCCGGGGCCTAGCAAAACCAGTGGTGCGGGTACGTCGCTGTAGCCTTCACATGGACGGGCCGATCACCAGGAAAAGAAACAGGTATCTGTCCTGCTCTTCACATATCATCTGTAGTACTCCCTCCATTTCATAATGTAGTACCTATAAATTTTTATGAAAGTCAAACTTTGCCAACTTTCATCAAGTGTATAGAGAAAACTGTCTACATCTACAATATCAAACTTGTGCATTTTGAAAATATAACTCATGATGCATCCAATGATGTGCATTTGGTATTCTAGATATACCAACTTTTCTTTATAAATACGGTCAAAATTTATAATATTTGGCTTTTACAAAAATCTATAGGCATTATTATGGAACGGAGGGAATAGCAGATATTAAGGCCTCCTTTGGTTCATAGAATACGAATATTCTAGGAATAGGAACTTCATAGGAAGTGAGATGACATGCATCTCAATTCCTATAAAGAAAAAGATGTCATTTGTTACATAGGATAGGAATATTTTCATTGAGTCTAGGCTAATATTTTTTTTCCTTTAAAATGTGAAGGATTGAATCCTATCCTGCATAGCAATACAAATCTATTCCTATAAATCAAAGGGCTTCAGAGAAAGTTTTCCTTTGAAAATCCTGTTTTATGAAATTCCTACAAAAATCCTACGAACCAAAGGAGACCTGAAGCATCTTTCATCTCACCTCCTTCTTGCAGGTGCCACGTACACCATGCACGAATCGATCATCTGGGACATGCATGGATCGTGGCGGGAGTACAATATTGTTCTGCCATGATCGCGCACCACCTCTTTCTTTTTTTTATTTTGAGGGGCACGTACAACCTTTCTTGACTACCCTCACACTGTCACACATACAGTAGTTTCGACCTGTCATCGCTGTCAAGACGTACTACGTGTCCAAATTAATTGACGAAATTAACGGATTGATGGCGAGATGCACTGTTTAACGGCTTGATGTGTCCAAGTTTCCAAAGACTTTTCTCACGGGAAGCAGTGTAGCTAGTACGTATGTGCTCTGCCTTTGCACTGGCAACATGGGAATTCAGATGTTTGCCTTTCCATAGGCTATCTTAGGGCATTTTTGACCCGTAAATTTCTTCGGTATATGTTTGATTTGTCTCCGGACGTTGTCCGCGGATATGATACAGTCCAACGCTAATTACAAAGAATATTCGGTTGGGAGAAGAAAAACTAGATGAGGACCATGTATGTGGCGGGATATTGTTGTGTGGTGTTGGGTTGAAAAAAGAGCGAGGAGAGGGGGCCCATGCATGTGGGGAGAGAGAAAAGAGAGAAGGACCATGTGGAGGCTTTCGGTTGATCAAATCGATGTCTAGACTTTGGTATAGCTCCTTATGATTGTCTACACTTGCCGTAATGCGGATGTCCAAACTACTTCACGAACTATTGTAGGACCGCGTTGGATTGTAAAATCGAACAAAAATGGCTATTTAGACATATACCGGAGTTTTGCGGTTCAGCCTTGAGATGCCCTTACTCACTTCACTAGCTTCATGAAATCATTGATCAATCTTAATGGATCCACTTCCCCGGAAAAAAAAACTTAGTGTATCAAATAATTTGACAACATGACCAATTGTTATTAATCCAGGAATAACAGCGCACAGTCGGGGTACGGATAGCACAAGTTAATGCTCACCACGTGATCGCCCGTGCTTGTGCCGCTGTGCATGTGACCCAGAGGCTGCTGTGCTAGATGATACATGCTCCCTCTGTAAACTAATATAAGACCATTTAGATTACTAAAATAGTGATCTAAACACTCTTATACTCCCTCCGTCCAAAAATACTTGTCGAAGAAATGGATCAAAATGGATGTATCTAAAACTGAAATGTGTCTAGATACATCCATTTCTCCGACAAGTATTTTCGAACGGAGGGAGTATTAGTTTACGGAGGGAGTACTCACCTTATCTTTTTGCTCTCTGTGGAAAACATTTCCATTTCTATATTTTTTTTGAGGGAAAAAAATGACGCGATGGAGTGTGGTTGGTGGGTGATCTAAAGCCGGATTGGTGCCGCTGTTTCTACACTCTGCATCTCAACGGGTTTGGTTTTGTTCGCGTTATAAATGACGCCCACTGCCTGGCGTAAGGAAGCCACAAGCCCCACTCAAGCTAGCTTCACCTCAAGCTCGAGCTTCACTTGAGCCCCAAAAATGGCGAGCAGCTCACTAGTAGTCCTGGCCGTCCTGGCCACCGTGGCCGCGCTGCTGCTCTCTCCGGCCATGCCCCTACCCGTCTTCACCGGCGACTCCTCCCCGGGCTTCCACGCGGCGTCGTGCCCGCAGCTGGACGGCATCGTGTGGTCGTCCGTGGAGGCGGCGCTGCGGCAGGAGGTGGCGGTGGCGGCGGGCATGCTCCGCCTCTACTTCCACGACTGCTTCCCGCAGGGCTGCGACGCCTCCATCCTCCTCAACACCACCGCCGCCCGCGAGACCGCTCTCGGCCCCAACCTCAGCATCCAGCCGCGCGCCATGCAGCTCATCGAGTCCATCCGCGCCAGGGCGCACGCCGTTTGCGGGCCCGTCGTCTCCTGCGCCGACATCACCCTGCTCGCCACCCGCGACATCATCGTCATCTCCGGCGGGCCCTGGTTCAACGTGCCGCAGGGCAACCTCGACAGCCTCGCCCCGGCGTCGCAGGACAAGGTGTTCGACCTCCCGGCGCCTGACACGGCCAGCGTGGCGACGCTCGTGAACTCCTTCGCCACCAGGGGCCTCGGCGACGTGGCCGACCTCGTGGCGCTCTCCGGCGCGCACACCATCGGGCGGTCGCAGTGCGGCAGCTTCGTCGACCGGTCCAAGCGCGCCGACGACACCTTCTCGAGGAAGCTGGCGGCCAACTGCAGCAAGCACCCGGAGCGGCTGCAGAACGTGGACGTGATCACCCCGGACCTGTTCGACAACGCGTACTACAAGGCGCTGGGGTTCAACCAGGGCGTGTTCACCTCCGACATGGCCCTCGTGAAGAACAAGACCACCGCGCCCATCGTGAAGCGGTTCGCCGAGAGCAAGGACGCCTTCTTCGGGCAGTTCGCCAGGTCCATGGAGAAGCTCGCGAGGGTGCCCAAACCGGCCGGCAACGTGGGCGAGATCCGGCGCTTCAGCTGCTTCAGGACCAACGCCCAGCGCGCCGACGCTGCAACCGTGGACGCCGCCGGCAAGGAGGAGGAGGAGGGCTTCGCCGCTTCCGCTTGATCTGATGGTACGGTCAAGTGCGTACGGGCGCAAGATGGTCGTCGGCAGGCAGGCTAGCAGGTACCCGTGCGTTGTGTTAGCGTGCATGCACGGCATGGCCGTAGGCCATAGCCAATCGTGTTTGAGTTGTCGGCATGCTTCCTTTTTCTGCGTGTAGCAATAAAGAGACAGAGATTTCGATCGTCGTTGCATCTCATCTTGATGAACTTTGTGGTGTTTACTGCTTGTTGGGCACGGTCATCCTCTTGCGTGCTTGAAGACTTTTGGAACCCCGATCTGTTTCGTCAACTAATCTAGACACCTATGTACGTATTGATAGCGATAATCTCTACTCCTAATGGAGCAGTTGGTAGTCTCGCTTCCAGGTTTTTTTTCGTCCCACCACTTTCGTCCGGTTTTTTCCGTAGGTTAACCGTCGTAGATTTTTTTCGATGTTGGTTTCTTATTCACCGGTTTATTTACCCTTTAGCTCTTTTCTTGCAAATCAGCACTTTCCAAATGTGCACACAATCACGGATCTAAAATTTACTAACTTATCTAAATCAACCGATACCTTCCATTATTGTAAATTTTAGTTAGGAAACAAATAATAGATTTTAAGGAAACAAATAATAGATTTTAAGGACGCATCATACTTTACTAACAATCACTAAAAATCAAATCTAAATTAATTAACCTTACCTTAAATCACTCAATCACTTTAATTAGAAAACATTTTCTTTCCTAACTGCACCCCGCTTAGTGTGCACATAACAATCCGAAATAATTAGAGTCACATGATTGAATCCATTTATTTAGAGCGACATGATTGAATTCATTTATTAACAATAATCCTCACCAAAAGTGTGTTTAGCAATTTTAAAGGGCGGACCAAAACTCTGCCATCCGCTCGCCCGTGTTTGTTTAGATACAGAAAAAAATGGCATAATATATGGAAACAACACGACCGGGGCGGCGGCGCAATCTTCGGGGATAGGGACCAAAACTCTGCCATCCGCTCGCCCGCGTTTGTTTAGGTACAGGAAAAAATGGCATAATATATGGAAACAACACGACCGGGGCGGCGGCGCAATCTTCGGGGATAGGGGATCGGAGGAGAAGGATTGGCCTGGCAGCATGATCAGGGTGCTTCCCCGCGGCCGCGGCCGTCCTCGCGGTGCCACCTACCCGAAATCAACGCTGCTCCATGCCGTCAGCCGAGGCGACGCCGCCTGCCCTCCTACCCACGGTCCGCTGCCGCGTGCGGCTACGGCGGGAGGAGTAGCGACGGGGCCGAGGTCCTTCATGCGTTCCGGGATGGAGGCCATGATTTCGTCGAGGTCGTTGTTGCCTCCTACACTCAGGGTGTGTCGCTGAGATCGAGGCAAGCATGAGGAGCTGTGGCCACCACCATGGTCACCCCATCGCAGGGGATGGAGCACGCCGTCGGCCTACAGCTTGTGGAGATCACTGTTGCTCTTCAGGTCGCTTGGTGACCGGATCTTGCCAATGTGTCCCTCCCCGACGATCTCCTCTTCGCCCGGTTGGCCGGCATGGATTTCGCCGCTGCTGCCCTCAACTTCTCTGCCTCGAGCTCGACGATCAGCCATCATGGATACCCCAGCTGGAGGGTCACGTGAACCAGCCGTCCTCCCATGCTACAGCGGCAAGAAGGTGACATGGCTCTCCATACACGAAGAGTGGAGTTCAATCAAGTACTTATATACTTGGCCTCTACTGCTGATCCATGTACATGGAGAAAAACAGACAACCGCTCATTCATGCTTCGTTCCACTCCTTTGCGCTACATTACTGGAGGTGACATTTTCCTATCTCTCTATGTTGTAACAAGCCTGCTGCCTGCATAGTTAATGGATTTTTTATTTAAATTTATCGCTGCTTAGTGCTTTGTTGCAATTGTTCATCCAAGATTCTTATATATAATCTGAGCGTATGTAGGCATACTTAGCTTTGCTATTCCATTTTTTCTGACGCATAGAAATAAGAGTATTGTCCAGGTTAGGTATTCAATTGAGTATGGTATTTGGATTGCTATCAGAATGTCTTTTCTATGCATGTGATTTCTCACATCTGGTTATAATATTTGTGAAGACGTGCATTGCGCGTGCACTTGGAAGCGAGCCCATGGCCCGCGCTGGACGGCGCCGACGCCGACCCGAGCCACCTCGTCCGCGTATTCTTGGAGTTGTAGCTGGTTGATTTACATGAAATTAATTCCCTCAGTTCTGGTGGCAAATATAATACACATAATCCATATTGTTATGCATTAGGGTGTATGTGTGAAATAGATGGATTATGGTCCCATACCCAATAAGATGGATATGTGTGTGTTAGAGAGAGAGGGAGAGGGGGATAGAGAGTGAGGAAGAGGGAGGGAGAGTATGTGTTTGTGTGTGTGAGGATTTGATGGTAAAGAAGTCGCCAATGTCATAATATTGAACTCTTAAAGTTAATATGGTCCCGTTGCAACGCACGGACGTTCTTCTAATAATACTAGTACGTGTGTGTGAGGGTAAACGCGAGGAAAGCAAAGGTCGACCACGTAGCTAGACCCGCAAAGTACGATGCAAGTTGTCGGAGACCGGGGGGATACATGCATAACCACCATGCGCGGCGTGGATAATCATGCACGCCCACGACCACCATCTATGTCCTGGATAATCCATACTACCTTCGTCCTGGTTTATATGTCCTTTTTGTATTTTGTGTCAAGTTTTGACTAAAGATTTAACTAACAAAATGTTAATGCATGTCAAGAAAAATTATCTCATTGAACTCATATTTCAACATAGTTTTTAAAAATATAATGTTTGATGACATGCGTCAATATTTTGTTAGTTTAATCTATGATAAAATTTGGCACGAAATACAATGGGGACTACTAAATCCGGACGGAGGAGGACTGAACTGCAAGGAGGAGGACTGAACTGCAGCTAGTCCTGGCCATCTCCGGCCTGGCCCTGTCGGCTCACCCAGGCCCGTCCCTAAAATCCAGGGCCTAGGCCTGATGGGCTTGCCCGTGGGCCGGGCTTGGGCCTAAGTTTTGAGCCCACCAGCAGGGCCTGAATGGGCTTGTGCTTGGCATATTGGCATTCTAAGGAAGAGGCCCGGGCCATGTCTCTAAGCCCTAAGAGCTTTTTATTAGATGGGCCGGGCTTGGGCTTGAAAAGTAGGCCCGATGGTAGAGCAAGGGAGGGCCTGTGCCTCAGTTTTTTGCCATGGGCTTTTTTAGGCCCGGCCCAAGCCTGGCCCGGCCCGGCCCATGGCCAGGTATAACCGCAGCCCAGCTCGATCATGTGCTGTGGTGCATGGGGTGGAGATCAAAGATGTTTTCGTTGGACTTGTCAACAACAGGAGGCTAGATATGGATATATTTGTTCTTTCTCTAGGGTGATGGGTCCATGGGAGGGCAGAGGACCCAACGTACAGTACCTGTAATAACTACTCGGTATGGTAGCTGCTGGGCGATGGCACAATAATACTGTATCAAGGATCTCGACGCATACATATGCATGCACCTTCGTGTCAAGTTGTTACTCACGAACAAATTTGCATCACCATTTGTATTTGTCTAAAAGCATCTACAGCGGTACCTCTCAAATCCGTCTCAAACGCCCGGACACAGCCCACAAAGTCCCCTCTGCAGCAAACACTAGGCTCATTTCACTCCACTCCGCTCCGCTCCCCTCCTCTTGTCCAATCAGTCAAACTCCAAGCGCCGGCGACAATGTCCAGCATCGACAACCACTCGAGGACGAGGTGGCGCTCCATATCTCACTGGAGCGCTCGCAGGTCAATATGGGCGGCAACTCCGGTTCAGGTGAGACACTGCCTGTCGCCCGTTGCCATAGCGCCGACACCGGCGCCAGCCCTTCCCGCCCCGCATGCGGATCTACAAGGGCAGCTCAATCGGCACCGCGGGCCCGACAACCTCCTCCACCTCGGGCTCCGCGCGGGCAGCGGTGGGTTCAAGTACCCGTTCCACTAGGGGCACGTCCGACGTACCTGCGCAGTCCGCCCACCGCCGTTGCGTGATGTCGGTGCCCTACGAGGAGAAGCGTCTCCTCCAGTGGGTGTACCTTCGATCACTTACCACAATGGGGACACGCCCAAGAAAGAAACAAAAAAAATAACAAGATAATTTAGAATAAAAACAATGAATTAGTAGCAAAAGTATTACCATTTTAAGAAGAAAGATAGCGAAAAAAGTTTTAGGAAACTTGCACACAACTTGGCTCTAAAATTGCACTTTCTGTAGTATGCAATAATGCAAACAATAATCATATAATTGTATAATTTTCGCGAATATTACATAGTATTAATATGAATACATTTACACTCATCCAACATCCCGAAAATACCCATAAAAGAAAAATTAAAACCAACCAACAAAGAAAAACAAAAGGCAAGAGCAAAAGCACATAAAAATAGGAAAAAACATAAAATAAACAAAGGGAGAGATGAGGGCTGGATCTTGCAGTTAATGTGTTTCAGCCCAGTAGCAAATCGACTGACCTAAATATGGGTCAGTCAAATGTAAGCCCAGCACAACAAACATCACATACCAGAAAAATAATGCAGCATGAATCTAAAAGCAGAAATCAACGGTCAGAAAATCAACAGACCCAAATTCAAAATTTAGACAATTTACAAGTAGCTAAAGTGGAAAAATTAAACGTGGTGGGTCGATCATGAATGACATGGTAGGGCGTGAGGCAGCCACTGGACTCGATCGCCGAAAGTGAGAGTACTGGAGTAATATTGTACTTGTATGTATCATGTTTGGTCCCATGCAGATGCTGGCATGCGCGTGGTGGCCACGATCGATGCCCTCGATGATCTATTTAGTGGTACGTGGCACTCCCTATGCTTCATCAGCTCCGTGGTGGGGTGAAGATCAAAGATGTTCTTGTTGGACTTGTCAAGAACAGCCTTTCTCTTTTCTGGTCGAGGACCAGCTTTGGCAAACAAACATATTATAAAAGTAGAGTAACATTACA